TCAACATCGGCACCAGCAGCAAGTTTTAATGGCTCCTCAATGACACCAGGTATCGCCATGCTGTGGATGCCCGCGAACTAGCCTTATTGCCTAGCGGGACCACTTCTAATGAGAGTCTCCACCATGAGATCAACGTGTGGTTTCGGGAGACGGCTTCTCGACGGCACGATACCATGTAGACATGTCTCTTTTGTTTGTTGATCGTAAACAACTGCAGGCCATGATCCACACGGCGACCTTCCTCCTGAAGATTCGTTTCTTCAGGTTTTTAAAGTTGCTTGTGCATAATCAGGCACTATATAGACCGATGCAGAGACAAACCTCTCAGAACGAGATGATTCCTCGTGCATTGCGTGGCAACACACCTGGGATTCTCCCGAAGGTCGAATGGTCCCGTTGGTGTAGGACCTTGCGTGTACCTGGCAAGTCCCCTCGCAAGGCTCAGTTACAGGTGGTCAAACAGGCCACCGAAGTTAGGACAGCAGCACGTGCAAGAGGCGCGGCTCGACCGCAGCCGCCTGTCCGCAATCCTGCCAAGCGGCGCATGCCAGTCTTGCCCAAGGCAAAGGCTACTCGGCGCACGCCTTTTCGGCTGCGTGTCCTGAATCCTGTTGTCCGACCTGGACGAAATTCTGGGGGACGCTAACTGAACGGCTCCAGCCATCCGGAAAAGATACTACAGTTCATGTCTCATAGCACTCCCCAGAACTATGCTTGAGATTTCATCCCCCAACCGACATTAACGGCTGCCGCAGGTAATAGCGCACACATACTAGAACCCGATGGTACAGTGATAACGTCGCACGACCAGGCCAGTGCTCCCACTGTCTGCGTTTGGATCCACGGCGTGCCAACATTACAGTTAGTCGTAGCTGTCGTAGAACGTATGTCTGACCACATTCCAAGGAGTCGTGGACATTCTGACCAATCAAACGTTATATTAACACAAACTTGGGCGTAAGTGGCCGCCGTTTGTATGTCTCAGTATGATATGCAGTTAAATGCCACGAGAGTGCAGCCAGTTTGAACGATC